ACACCTTTTCTTTTATATTTTTTTATATATTTTTATTATTACATTTTGAAATTACATTCTCACATTTTGAGTCACGAATAATTTTTTTTTTTTTTATACATATAAAAACAATTTTAAGTTTTTTTTTTTTTTTGTACAAACAAACACAACAACAATTTCCATGTGTTTCCATGTGTTTGTTACCTTTTTTAAAATTATCTTCATGTAAACCTTTAAAAGCGTTAATAATTTTACTGGGAAAAAAATAATAAAAATTCTTTAAAAAGAAGGAGAAAAATTATTATTATTATTATTATTATTATTATTATTATTATTATTATTATTATTAAAAAACGTCGGGCGCCTTTTTATAGAGACGCCAAATTTTAATATAAAATCCTAACCAAAAGTAATAATTTTTTTTTTTTTTTTTAAAGCGAATACGTTGAATTTAAATGTAATATTATAGGTATAAGGTACAGGTATTAAATTAATAATATTAAACTGCAATACAGGTACGGTACGTTATATAGTACAGGTGCTAAATAATATTCTTTTAAAAAAAAATTTTAAAATTTATCACGCAGGTATTTAAATTTTTTTTTTTTTTTTGTTTTTGTGGGTCAAAAATGAAAAGTGTACCCATTATTATTATTATTATTTTTTTTTTAAACAAAATAACGACACATTTATTAATTGTTTAAACGAGGTATTGGATTAACAAATTTTTTTTTTTTTGTTGGTAAATTTAATATTTCAATTAAAAAAAAAAAAATAACTGACGATTGTTTCGAATTAAATAAACAAAAAAATTTCATTGTATTGAATATTTTTTTATATTCTTCGCCATTTTTTTTACAAATTTTTTTTTTTTTTAATAAGAATGTTTAACAATACTTTTTTTTTTAGGACGATCCTTAACTTTATTTATTTATTTAAATAATAATAATAATAATAAAACAAGAACAAAAACAACAACAAGAACCAACTAAATTGAATTTTTCACAATGTTTTTTTTTTTTTAATTTTTTATTTCCTTCATTAATTTTCGTCGCTGATTTATTAATTATTAATAAGAAAATAATAATTAAATAATTTTTTTTAAATATTTTATGTAAATTTTTGTATTTTCAAACAAGATTTTTAAAAACATAAACAAAACGTCGATCGACCAACCGCATTTTTTAACGGTTTTTTTGATTGGAGATAACAATTTTTTTTTTTTTTAATAATTATTGTACATAAAAATTATGTTTATTATTTATCTTGTAAATTATTTATTTATTTATTTAAATTTAAAATTTATTTTCAACATGTTTTGCGTTAAAAATAATAATAATAATATATTTTATTAAAAAAAAATTGAATATTATTATCATCAATCGAAAATATTTTTATTTCCTCTCAAAATTTGTTTTGTTTTGTTTTTTTTTGTTTAAATAAAAATTAATAAACGTTTTAATTTTAAATAATAATTATTATTGTTTAATAAATCATTAATTTATTAATTTGTTTAACGTTGCAGCAAAAAAAAAATTATTGGAAAATAAAAAAGAGGAAAATTTTAACGTGGTTGTCATGACCACCATGTTTAAAATTCGCATTTTAATCGATTAGTTCTTATTTTTTTTATTAATTAAAAAATTTTTATTTCTTCTGAATTCGACGTTTTTTTTTTTTTAAATTTTCCCAACGTTGATGTGAAAATGAACGGAAACGATGATGATTATGTTGAAGCGGAAAAAAAAATGGGAAAACGTGGATTTTCTAAAATTGACGTCGTCGATATAATATTATCAGAAGAAGGACAACAAACTCTAACGAAATCGAATAATGTCATTGAACAACTCACCGAAAAAACTTTTAATAAGGTATAAATAAATTTTTTAATTTTTTTTTTGGGGGGGAAAGACTCAATACCTAACATTGATTGATTTCAGGCACTTTTCATGGCTCCTACCTATCGTATGGAACCGAAAAAAAAATTCGATGTCGATGTCGTTTATCAATTACTTAAAGAATTTATGGATAAACATTGCAGCGAATTTTCCTATAACGAAAAAGAATGTCAAAATGCATGTAAAAGAATATCGTATTATATAAGAAGAGCTGTTAAACAATTATCATTCGATAGGTAGATTAATTTTTTAAATAATACGATAAAAGATGTCGAACGAGTTAAAATTTTGTTTTTTTTCAGGTATCGTTTTATATGTCAAGTACGAATAATTGAAAAACAAAATCAAGGTATAGAAACTCAAATTGGATTTTTATGGTGTGAAAATTTTGACGGTTATGCATGTTATACGGTGGATACATACAGTTTCATGGCTCAAGCTGTTGTTTTTGGCATTTATAAAGAATGATTGAAAAAAAAAAGAGGGGATTAAAAATTATTTTCTAAATTTTTATTTAAAACATGTATCTACAACCGAAAAAAAAAAAAATTAATAACCTATTTATTTTTTAAATATTGTTGTAAATTTCACAAAGTTTATAAAAAAAAAAACTTTAACATTTCGCATACAAATTAATAAAATATTTTTAAATTAAAAAGAAAAACATTAAATATGTTTAAATTTGTTTTTGTGAATATTTTGTTTATATTTCAATTAATTATTTTAATTTGTTTTAAATAAAAAAAGAAATCAAAATGAAACTTGATAAAAGTTTAAAAATATTACAAAAAAATTACTGTTGAGTTTTAAATATATATATATATATATGTATAAATAAATTATTTTTTTAAAGTATAAATTATATAAATATAAATAAATTAACCTTTTGTTATAATATAATATAAATTATAAATAAAAAAAAAATTTATTTTTAATTAAACGTTTAATTTTTTGTGACGTTTTAAAAAGTTTTGTTATTATTATTAAAAAAAAAAAAAAATATAACATACATCAAAGTTAAATTTTAATAAAAAGTGAATAATAAAAATTATATTTATAAGGCGTGGTGTTTAATTACTGTAATTAATTTTTTATTATTAATAGCATCCATTTTATTATTTTATACTATTTTAGGCGGTTTTATTTTTATAAAGGCGTGTATAAACGGGAAAAATTTTTTTCTTTTTTTTTTTAATAAAAATTTTAGCTCAATCCTTTTATTTCATCTTGAATATTTTTTCGTGCTTGTGCTTCGTATTTGTCTCGAAATCTTTTTGTAGCGAAAATATTAGGTATTAATAAAAAGCTTTGAAGTACCTGAAACGCATAAAATAATTAACGTTATAAAAAAAGGAAAAAACTTCTTAGGAGGTAGGTGTATACCATTTAGCATTACCTTTTTTCGTAAAATTTTATAAGTTTCACTATCGAGTGTTGAATATTCACTTTGTATATCTTTAGTATACTGTACGTAACGATTATTTGAACTTCCTAAAGTAATCATATCTAAATCTAAAAAGTAATGCAAATCAGTATCTCCGTAAGCACCCGCCATTTTATGCTCTTCTGTTGAATGACTAGAAGAACCTTCCAAAAGATAAATAACTTCTTTAAAAAGATTGGAATCCTGAAAGAAAAAACGAATTATTAATTTCTTTTTAATAAAGAAAAAAAATGACGTAAATAGAAAAAAAACTCAACACTTACTTTATTTATTCCAGCTTCATTGGCAAATTTTATAAAACTCTGAACATTTTTTTCATTACATTCATCATCATCTGTTGGACTGTATTCTAAGCTAAATTAATATAATATCGTTCGTTAATATTACGTACGTATATTATTACTATTATTATTATTACTATTTTGTATTTTTATTTAAATTTTGCGATATAAAATTAGTTTTAAATGTTTAATTACTTACTATTGAAAAAAGAGTGCTATGGTAAAAGCCTTTATATTTTTTATAAGGGATGAAAAATCATCAAGTTCTTTACATTTTTCCAATAAATATTCGTGATTATGAGTTTTTCTTCCTTCTTCTTCGTATTTTTCAGATATAAATTTCCACCAAGATTGACAAACGGACTCGGGAAGATCTACGGCTGCGTTTTTCCAAATAGTTTCTAAACTTTTAGCCATAGTTTTGTGATTTTAATAAATTTTTTATATTTTTGAATTATCGATTCCGCGATTTTGCCAACTTTAAAATTTAATGGCGTAAGCGCTCTTTGTGCCTACGTTATCTAAAAAAAAATCTAGAGGGCAGTGTTGTTGTAATTTTTTTTTTTTTTTTTTGATAATTGATTAAAGTAGTTTGCTTGTTATTAAACTTTAAAATGAAATTTTTCAAATATAATTTTGAAATGAAAATAATTTAACATTTTCACTAATGGCTGTGTTTGATAAAAAAATTCCAACAAAAGTTTTTTTAGATGACACACAAGTTTTAAGTGTAACAATAGAAAATGCTCAAACTGTCAATGGACATACTGTGAGAAAAAATTTATTTTTTTTTTTACTTTATTTAAAATTTTACTTTGAGTTTGATTTTTTCTTTTTTTTTTTTGAAATGATTCAGTTAACAAATATAAACCAAATAATGCTTATCTAATATTTTCATTTAATATATATTTTTGAAACGCCTTATTATTTTT